TCTGAGCGTCTGAGCTGGAGAGCCGGGGCCTGCCGGGAAGGGTCGGCGGGCAGGAGGCCGCCTGGGGCTGGGCGCAGGGTCTGGTGATTCGGGCAAGCTGATGGAGGGTCTCGCGCCCTCGCAGGTCTGACGGGCCTCTGCCCCGCCAGCTCCGCGCATGCTCGCCATCATGGACTTCCATCCCCGCACCTGCGCTTACAGGCGCGCACCCCGTGCCCACGCTCGCGGCCCAGGTGTGGGCCTCAGGTGTGCCTGCCCGTGCCCGCGCTCCAGCGCTTCCTTACGGCCCGTTATCACGTGGGCAAACAAGACTGTCGGCGGCAGCCGCAGCGTCGCGCGGGGTCGCATGACCCCATTTTCCCTGCATCTGTGCTGCGTGGACAGGCACTGTCCTCCCATCAGTCCAGGGGGGCCTGGAACGGGGCACGGACAGCGCTGGTGGACCGAGGGGGGGCGACAGGCACAGGAGTAGCGGGGGCGTGACTGGGGGAACCACGTGAGGGTCCCAGCCAGTGCTTGGGGTCATTATCCTTAAACTGTTGCGCGAGGTCAGCAGACTTCAACTTAAAGCAATTACAAAGGAAGTTGGCTGCTGTACCACCGGTCTTGTGATGAAGTAAATCTGTAACTTGCCAAATTGGAGGGGTTAGCCCACACCACCGGTTTGCGGCACTTCACAGTGGGTGCAAGCCTGGGTTTCGGGGAGAAGGCCGGCTCCCCCGGGCACACACGTGTGACCTGCAGGGTCACCTCACTCTCCAGGGCACGGTGCTCACACACCTGCACGGGTGGGCGTGCACCATATGCGGGTCTTCCCGGCCCAGGTCACCCAGGGGCGCGGGCTCACGCCCCGCCAGCCTGCCAGCGCATTCATCTGCCCTGGTTTTATTCACAACTTCGTCTTATCAGTGAAAACTCCACACCAGAGAGGCAGGCTGGCTTTCCCAAGGCCGAGCCGGAGCAGCGCCCGGGCAGGGGTGTCTGGAGCACACCTCCGCGGACCACCGAGTCCAGCCCCCCCGTGCTGGCCCGCCTGCCCGCCCTTGCTCCGGAAGCCGGTGCAGGAATGTCCCTCCTTCAGCCAGCCCTCGGCCGGCCACCTGCCGGAGGTAGGGAAGGGCGGGTTCCACGTGTCCAGGGACAGGACTCTGGTCAGGGCAACTAGTGGTCACTGCGGTCTCAGAGTTTGTAGGTGACCTCAGAAAATAACTTTTTAAATTAATATCCTATATTCAGTTTGTGTGTATATACAGGTAGAGATACCCTAGGGCAGATGCAGTTATCACTCTCCGCCGCTCGCCAACCTGCTCGCCAGAGCAACCCACAGGCTTGGGAACCGACCGGGGCGCCCTCACCTCTAACTGCTCCAGGATGGCCCCACGTCCGGCCGTGCCTGTGCTCCGGGCTCGGGGCTCTCAGAGCTCCAGCCTTCAGCAGCCCACGCGGGGGTGCCGTTCTGGGTCCCCCGTGAGTGCAGCCCAAGGCAGAGCCGGTCACTGGCCCCCGGCCTCCGGTGGCAGAGCACAAGACGGTGGTGGACTGTGGGCTTACTCGCTGCCAGACCTCTGTTGCTTTTGCCAACTTATCCAGGGTGGCGGTGGAGGTGTCAGCAGTCGGGGTGCACTGAGGCCCGACTGCGCCCCCAGCCCGCTGCCCAAAGCACTGCCAGATGGCAGAGAGGAGCCGCTCGCAGCCTGCTGGGCCCTGACCCGGCCACTTGGGGTCATTATGGGCTGCACAGAGGACTCCAGTGGGCAGCTACCTCCTGTGGGAAATTTCCCCTCCCCCACCCCCCAAACCCCCACCCCCGTCTGCGCTGGGCTTGCCGGGTGTGGAGCCCAGGGGCCGGCTGCCCGGACCACCCTGACGCCGTCTGGTCTGTCCACAGCCACCTCCCCGTGCAAGATCCTCAAGTGCAACTCTGAGTTCTGGAGCGCCACGGCGGGCAGCCACGCCCCGGCCGCCGACGACACCCCCGAGTTCTGCGCGGCGCTGCGCACCTACGCGCTGTGCACGCGGCGCACGGCCCGCACCTGCCGGGGCGACCTGGCCTACCACTCTGCCGTCCATGGCATCGAGGACCTCATGAGCCAGCACAACTGCTCCAAGGATGGCCCCACGGCCCAGCCGCGCCTGCGCACGCTGCCGCCGCCGCCGGGAGACAGCCAGGAGCGCTCCGACAGCCCCGAGATCTGCCACTACGAGCGCAGCTTCCACAAGCACTCGGCGGCGCCCAAGTACACGCACTGCGGCCTCTTCGGGGACCCGCACCTGCGGACGTTCACCGACCGCTTCCAGACCTGCAAGGTGCAGGGCGCCTGGCCGCTCATCGACAATAATTACCTGAACGTGCAGGTCACCAACACACCTGTGCTACCCGGCTCGGCGGCCACTGCCACCAGCAAGGTGAGGGGGAGGGGAGGGGGCCACCCCATCCTACTGTCTCCAGGTCCCACACTCAGCCGCTGCCCCACGGGGCCGGGATGCTTACATCACTAACTACGCAGGGTATTTAGGAAGGAATGTTCTGGAAGGTGGGGGAGGCTCTCCAGGACCCGCATCTGCGTGCTGCTTTAATTCTGGGAAATGAGCTCGCGGACTGCACCCCGGGGACCCTGTGGTGGGGCAGGGAGAGCCGGGGCGGGAGCTCGGCATGGCCAGCGGGGAAGGCGTGTGTCAGGGAGGGTGTCCCAGGAGTCAGGTCTCTGGCGTGTTGCCGGCCCTGGGGCCAGGCGACAGGTGCGCAAGGCACTTCTTACAGGGCTGTGGCCCAAAGGTTTGGAAGGCTCAGGACACGCACTGCGAGCCCCTGGGGTTGCTTCTCTGCTTCCACCGCATCTGGGTGGACCCCAGCTTAGAAGCCGCGCACGAGAGCCTCTTTGGGGGGGAGTTGCGTCACGGCCCTCGAGCTCACTGTCCAGTGGACCTGCCCTGGACCACAGCCCCTGGGCCTTCTCATGGACAGACGGCTGCTGAGCAGAATTATACCAGTGATGCTGGGTGCCCAGAGGCTGGTCTGACACCAGATGTCTGGGACCCAGGCGCGCTGGGGAGAGCAGGGGTACTGGGCCATGAGATGCTGTCGGGGCAGGTGGGACGGTGGGGTGGGGCCAGCGCCCCGCCTTTGTCTCGTCACACACCTCGGCTGAGGGGCTCTGTTGCCTAGCGGGGTGCTGGAAGCAGGTCCCAGAGCATGGGCGCCCTCAGCCTCCCCCTCAGGCAGCCTGCCCCGGGCAGCCGCTCCCCCACACATGCCTGTCCACCACAGTGCCTGGCCAGCTGGGGGCGGGGGCTGCGACAGGCCCGTCCGCCTGCCCGGTGAGGCGGCTCCATTCCGGCTCCAGGCCGCCGAGAGCTGCTCATCGTCCAGCCCAGGAGACCTCAGCCTGGGCAATCAGAGTCGGCTTCTGCTCACAGCGCCGTGGCCGCAGCAGCCACGACGTGGCTCGTGGCCCAGGACATGGACGTGACCGCCCACTCTGACTCTCCCCGCCCTCCCCACTTCCAGCAAGGTCCCCTGGGCCAGGAATTCAGACTCAGCCAAAGGACACGGCCTCGGGGCGGCACTCTCCAAGTCCAAGCCCCCGGGGCACAGATCCGGCCCGGCACCCCGAGGTTTCTGGTTGGCAGTGGGGCTGTTGTCCTGGGAAGAGCAGGTTGCTGGGCAGCAAGTTAGGCAGCGCCAGGCTGCCCACAAGGGCGTTTCTGTCCCTCCACACCCCAGAGGAGCACAGCAAGGTGACCTGACCGCCAGGAGAAATCTGCCTCTTCCCTCTGCTCCGGGGCCCTGGTATGCCCTCAGGGGTCTCTTTCTGGGCTCTGAAGCTGCATAGGAAATTGGAGGGTGGGGGGGTGCCCCATGGCTGCCCTTACAAGCCCGTGGCGCCTGGCTGGAAAGCCTAGTGGACAGCAGAATTGTGGCAGGTGCCCCCTCCAAAGGGGCCCACTGCCTCCCCGAGGGCCCCTCCCTGACCCACCTCCCTTCCTAGACTCAAGAAAGCTGGGGGTCAGGGGCTGCCCCACCCTCCCCAGGGAGTGCGAGAGCCACACACGGGCCTGGGAGGGTCACAGTTGTGACCCGCGAGCTGCCCCCTGGCCGGGGCGGGGCGGAGCCTCGGCCCCTCCTGCGGGCGGCGGGCTGGCCCGCGTGGCCGTGGACACTGGGGCCGAGGCCAGCACGCGCCAAGTGCGATGCCTCCCTGAGCCTGTCGTTCCTCCGCTCTCCCCAGCATCCCCTTTGTTCAGCATGTTTCTCCAGCGCCTGCCCAGCGCCCGGGCACTGGACAGTGGAGCAGCTCCCTCCGTAGCCCGGCGCGGGCTCTCCAGAAAGGTCTGGGCGCTTAGCAGAGCCCGCCCTGCCCTTCTGCTGAGGCAGAACCCCCCTGCCACCCCCAGCAGGCAGAGAGCTCCGTGGCCTGTGTGCGAGCCCATCTGCGGACATGGCACAAGCTCTTCCCGGGGACAGGATCGGACAGGATCAGGGTCGGGGCTTGGCCCCCGCTGGGCCGCCCCTGCCTGTGGGCTTCAGCCTTGGTGCATTGACCCGTTCACGGCGCCTCTGTGCTCAGCTTCCTCCCTCCCGCAGCCCCCCCAAGAGGTGCTGGGAAAGCAGACTGTCAGGGGCTGGCCCCCAGAGTCTGGACAAGGCCCCCTTCAGGTACTTCCGCTGAGTGTGCCCCCAGGGGACAGGAGGAAGCAGGGGAGGCGGGACCCCAGCCCCCTCCTGCAGAGTTCGCCATCCCTTGGCCTGCGCCCGGGGATGGCTCCCCCCCAGGCGGGGCTGTGGGCCAGGTTGCTACCCTGGTGCGGAGACAGCACCTGGAACACGCCTGCCCCTCCGTGGAGCGTGGGTGATGCCCAGCGGTGGACGGGGCCTCGGCCCCCGCGGGTGGGGAGAGACGGGCACGCAGGCAGCCAGCCGCCCGCTCTCGCCAAGCCCCCTTCGTGCCATTACTTGTGGTTGAGGCCCTGGCACGGGTGCCAGGGAGAGCCAGCCCGCCTGTCGGCCCTTCCAGGAGGCTGTCTCCAGGAGGGAGGGCGGGGGCACCGAACCCGCCTTTCCTGTTCCAGGGAGCCTGATGGCACTTGGAAAGCCGCCCCCAGTGTCTGTGTGGCCCGGGGAGACCCGAGTCCCTGGTGCAGGACCACCCACTGCCCAGACCGGCCCCAGGCGCCCGGCTCCGGGCCGTGGGAGGCCGAGCCAGAGGAGGCCGCCGCTTTCCTAGGCCGCCTTGGCCACCCCGGCCCGCTGTCCACGGGGCCTCCCCTCGCAGCCGTCCCTGGGCCCAGTGGGGGTGACACCGTCTGCTGCCTTCACGGGGTCGGGGGCGCTGGTGACCCGACGACCGAGGGCGGAGGCTGGCTGCTGTGGCCGCCTGTCTGCGCCCGGCCGCCCAGCAGACTCTCCTGGCCCAGCCTCTGCTCCCGAGTCGGCCGCTGTGGGTCCTGGGCTCTGGTCCGCCGGGCCTGGCCTCTGTCACTCGCCCACTGCAGGCCTGAGGGTCACAGCTGGGGCTGCGGAAGGGGGTCGACAGTGGCTGTCCAGCCTGTGACCGTGGATGAAAACCTTTGCCTCGCCGCTGGCTGCCTCTGGTCCGGTTTGAGCCGGCTCCCTTTCCCATCCAGGTACCAACCAGGCCCGACCCTGCTAGCTGCCGAGGGCAGGCGCATCCGGCGCGTTCAGGGTGGTGTGGCCTTAGGCTGGCTCCCTTTCTAGAACCATCTTTAAGTTACAAAAAGAACCAGTCGGTTACAGGAGAACGCTGCTGAGTACTGTCGGTGGAGCTCAACAGGGACCAAAGTGGGGACTGTCGCACCCCTTGAGAGGGAAGGACCCCGGTTCTTACAGTCATGGGTTTATAAAGGCAAAGTGGAGGGGCTGGGCGGCCCCAAGTCCCTGCTTGCCGCATGCCTGGTGCAGATGCCAGTTAGGTCCTGGAACATTTACTCCAGGGGGGATCGAAACTTATCTTTGGGCAACAGTTTCAGCAAGAGTTTCCCTGGCCTTCTGGCCTTCGCACTGCTTATCTTTTTTTTTTTTTTAAAGACTTATTTAGTTATGCTTACAGAACTGGGGTACAGGCCAGAGGTGCAGGGGCGGTGGGAGGATTCACCAGGGACAGAGCGGGGAGCAAAACAGGCAGATCGACGAAGTCCACTGCTGAGGGGAGCAGCGGGCGGGTCAGGAGAGGTCTGGCCCTGTGGGTCAGCTCCCTCGTGGGGGGATCGAACTCGTGCTGCAGCGGCTTCCGAGCGCTTCAGAGTGAGGTGCTCTAGCCCATTGGGCCACCAGGGAGAGCCCCGCCTTGCTTATCTTTGGGCAACAGTTTCAGCAAGAGTCTCCCTGGCCTTCCGGCCTCCGCATTCCTCTACACCCTCTCAGCCCAGGGGCCGGGCGTGCGCCCCCACACCGCTCACCCCTCTGCCCCTTCCTCCCCAGCTCACCATCATCTTCAAGAACTTCCAGGAGTGCGTGGACCAGAAGGTCTACCAGGCCGAGATGGACGAGCTGCCGGCCGCCTTTGCCGACGGCTCCAAGAACGGTGGGGACAAGCACGGGGCCAGCAGCCTGAGGATCACGGAGAAGGTGTCGGGCCAGCACGTGGAGATCCAGGCCCGCTACATCGGCACCACCATCGTGGTGCGCCAGGTGGGCCGCTACCTGACGTTCGCGGTGCGCATGCCGGAGGAGGTGGTCAACGCGGTGGAGGACCGGGACAGCCAGGGCCTCTACCTGTGTCTGCGCGGCTGCCCCCTCAACCAGCAGATCGACTTCCAGGCCTTCCGCGCCAGCGCCGGGGGCCCGGGCGCC